CTCTTAGGCAGTAGTCCATCCTCTATGGCCTCAGAAACAAACAGGAGTGTCGTTGGAACTGTATCAGGCCAAGAAGAACTCGTGAGCAATGGTGGAGCAGAAAGTTCGTCTTTTCTCATCACAAGGCACAAGTTAACCGGCCACAACTACCGTCAATGGGCGAAGGCTGTTTTGATGTTCATTACAGGAAGAGGTAAGGATGAATACCTCTATAGCACCACAGAACTACCGAAGAAGGATGATAAGAAGTTCAAGGTGTGGAATACCGAGAACAATCTGGTTATGTCTTGGTTGATCAATGCAATGGACACAGAAATTGGTCAAAATTTTCTGTTTTATGATACTGCACATGAGATTTGGACAGCAGCAAAAGAAACCTACTCGGACAGCGACAATACCGCTGATCTGTTTGATATCAAGGGAGCTCTGCATGATCTAAGGCAAGGTGAGATGACTGTGACTCAATACTATAACACTCTTAGTCGTTTGTGGCAACAATTAGATGTGTTTGAGAATCTGGATTGGGAGTCCCCTGGAGATGCAAGCCGGTACAAGAAGATCATTGAAAAAGAAAGGGTGTTCAAGTTCCTACTGGGATTAGACAAATCCCTAGATGAAGTAAGGGGGAGAATCCTTGGTACCAAGCCACTTCCAACAATTCGAGAAGCCTTCTCAGAGGTGAGAAGAGAAGAAAGCAGGAAGAAATTGATGATGGGTACTCGGTCATCCTCAAACACCCCGGAAGGATCGGCCCTGGTCTCTCAAGGAACCACTAATACTCAAGAAGGGTCGGCCCTTGTCTCCCGTGGATCCACTTCCTCCTATGATGCTCGGCAGAAAAAAGGAAGACAATGGTGTGATCATTGCCGTCGCCCAGGTCACACCAAAGAAACGTGTTGGAAAATACATGGGAAGCCCGTAGACTGGAAATCAAACAAGGAAAAGGAGGCACGTGGTTTCGTGGCTGACTCAGATGGAAAAGAAAGGAGTGCAAATGATTCGACTCTCTTCAGCAAAGAACAAGTAGAGTGGTTGCAAAAGATGTTCAGTCAAGGATCTTCTCCTAACCCGGTTATCTCAACTGCATCCACTACTCAAAGAGGTAACTTCCTAACTGCCTTACATACAAAAGCCGAGGATTCATCAGGGTGGATCATCGATTCTGGAGCTTCTGATCACATGACAGGTGATGTATCATTACTCCATGATTGCAGTCCCTGCCACGAGAATTACAAAGTTAGAATTGCATATGGTTCCCTTTCCGCGGTAACTGGTATTGGGAAAGTGCTCATCTCCGAGACACTAATTCTTAACCAAGTTCTTTTGGTTCCCAATCTTTCATGCAATTTACTGTCTATCAGCAGACTTACAAAAGACTTAAATTGCATAACTAAATTTACTGCCACTCATTGTTCGTTTCAGGATTTGGCTTCGGGGAAGATGATTGGCAATGCTAAGGAGAGCAAAGGACTCTACTGGTTTAGGGCCGATAGTGTAACAATATAATTTCACTATCTTTATTGACATTGGAATTTGACACAGAATTAAAAGACCCTAAAAGACTCTGAGACTGGACACAACTTGCTTGTGAGACTTGGTTTGAGGATCGGTCACATGAGAGGAGATAGAGCCCGGAGCACAGTTCAGCACTGCCAATCATCTTCCCTGATTTCAAGTCCTGAAAAATACACAAGTTTGGATAAAATTTAGTAACACATTGAAGGTCACAAGCCAATTTACTAATGGACAAAAGATTACAATCCAAGTTTGGAACATGGAGGACAGAGTCGAGATACAACTCTTTAGTAAGTTTGATGGAACCTGTCCCAGCGATTTTTGAATTTGAACCATCAGCTATATGGACGGACGAGTGACCACTACTTGGCTTGTAATTTTGGAGAAGGGCAGCATCTCCTGTCATGTGATCAGAAGCGCCTGTGTCTACTATCCATGGCCTCATTCCTCCATGGTTAGCAGTGAAGGCTGTATGCGGATCAGTTTGAGCAACCAAACCAGCCCCAGTAATGTTGCCACTGCCGACTTGACTAAACAGTTTCTGCAGTACATTCATCTGTTCTTTGTTGAATGGGCTAGGCTCGGGAACAGGAGCACTATCGGAATTGGAGGCCACATGTGCTTTGCTGTCTCTATCAAACCGTGGCTTTGGTTTCCAATCTGCTGGTTTGCCGTGAAGCTTCCAGCAAGCCTCCTTGTAATGGCCTAGTTTCTTACAGTAATCACACCAAGGCCTTTCCTGTTTCTGACGATCTCCGCCATTACTGTTGAATGACCAAACAGCAAGGGTAGAGGCATCTAACGGTGAGGCATGTTGTTCCTTAGATCCCATCATCACTTTCTTTCTACTTTCTTCACGCCTAACCTCGGAGAAGGCCTCCCTGAGACTGGGCAGTGGTTTAGTGCCCATGATTCGACCCCGAACATCATCCAACTCCCTGTTAAGTCCTAGGAAAAACTTGAACAGCCTTTTTTGTTCCACAACCTGCCTGTACGTTGCTGCGTCGTCCGGACATTTCCATGAGTGAGTCTCGAATAAGTCAAGTTGCTGCCAATACCGTATGAGTGTGCTGTAATACTGAGTGACGGACTGCTCTCCTTGGCGGAAGTCATGAAGGGCTGATTCTACCTGAAATAGTTCTGAAGTATTTTCAGAACTGGAGTAAGTTTCTTTGGCTGCATCCCATATTTCTTTTGCAGTTCCAAACAGCAAGAAATTTTCACCTATGTCATTGTTCATGGAATTGATAAGCCATGACATGATCATACTATTTTCTATCTTCCACTTCTTGAAACCCGAATCAGTAGTCTCTGGCATGGCTGCTTCTCCTGTGAGATATTCATCTTTTCCCTTGCCACAGATGAACAGCAACACAGATTGTGACCACTGTAAGTAATTATGGCCATTTAATTTGTGTCCTGTGATGAGAATAGGAGAAGATTCGCTGCCACCAAGGTTTGGAATCTCTGATCTTCCTCCTGATACAGGGGTCGTGACCACCAAGGTTTGGAATCTCTGATCTTCCTCCTGATTCTGGGGTCGTGACACTGGATGTTTGTGATGATGCCATTCCGTATTTTGTCATGTCTCAAATATTGAGGAAAAGATGAGAGGAAAGACTGAATATGGATGCTGGAAATATATAAGAGAAACCGGAGATAATTGGCCTGAGAACAACGAAGAGGTGGCCAGAAAACTTGGCAAGAGGTGGCCGGAATAAGAGATGGCCAGAGAGAGGTGGCCGGAATAAGAGATGGCCAGAGAGAGATGGCCGGAATGAGAGATGACCAGAGAGAGATATGGCCGGAAGGGATTAGGGTTCAGAAAACTGGCTCTGATACCATGAAGAATTTCTGAACTTCTATTATTAATCTTCTGTAACCCTACAATAGCATATATATACACAAATGACTAATAAGGGAAAAACTAACTAGCTTGATTCTCTCCTAAAAAATAGGAAACAAAATTATGAGAAAAGATCACAACCGATCTCTCCTTTTATTCCTAAAATACTTTCCTAAACTAACTTCCCTAACTTTTGACTTTCGAATTCAACAAAAACTTTTGCACATAAGTTTCATACAAACATATTTATCGACGTATTATTAAGAATACCAATGTTAGATAGCAACCCAACTTACGTCGAACCATGTACCATATCTCTGATGGTTGGCGCGTAGAAATTCAGCACTTTGTCATAATTTGGGGGCTTAATGAAATCATCATGTAGAGCACAAATAACATCTAAAACTTCAGTAAACCTGCGCGATATGGTCTCCCCTGAATGTTGCCATGCGTCTTGTGATTCACAATTACTTTGGCTTTGTGAAACGATTGTTAAGAACACAAATAATTGTTCAGGTACACTCATGTTGTAAGAGGGTCGTAGCAAACCTTTCTCAGTTAGCATTTCACATAGAATCATAAAATCACGTGGTCCCATACGCACTTTGTTATACATTGCAGTCTCATTACTATTTGCTAGTAGCTCATTTACCTTGTCCATACCCCTTAAAGAAGAGTTGTGCATTGGCTTTCTTACTCTGTCAATAGACATATAAGCGGCTGCAGCCGTCACTACATTTATTGCAGCCATAAATCTCCTTCGACGCCTTGAAGACGTCGCTCTATCTTGTTCCTCATTTTCGGGCTGCATCCTGTTGGTTGACAATATCACAATTGTAACAAATTATTCAATAAAAAGGAAATTAGGGCATTAACTGTTGAAGGATATCAAGTGTGCTTCTAGTACACACGGCTTATATGAACGTGATATCCTCGGATATAGGTTGCCAACAAATTTTGATCACCATTTAACTTATTTTTGAAAGTGACATCTTGGAGGTAATAAAACTTGTTTTCAAAATAATACAACTTGTCTATGCATGAGCAGATTTTGATCTTCATTTAACTTATTTTTAGTTGCAGCATTTTACTTAGAATATGTTGCCAAAAAATGTAATCCCATTGCAGCTGAAATATTTCCACCTTCTGATGAAGGAACAAGCACAGAGTTTAGTTCCCCTATTCATGCCACCCCGTTGTTAAAATCCTTGGCAGCTCTAACACTTAGCAAAAATAATGGGACAAAAAATATTAAAAGAAACCTATACCATGGTCAACTTTCAAGCAAAATAAAAAATTTGGTTGCTCCACCATAGGTAGCTTCCCGTGAAGTAGGATCTGTATTATGCCTAACTGGTTTTTTGGCCACGTTATGTATACTAACTTAGGAATAAGTTTTTAAGTAAGGCAATATCAGGCATTGGATGTCACCTACATGGCTATAAAACATTTTACCAAAAAGACTACCAACAAACATATGTTGATGATGACGCTGGAGTTCCATTGTCCTAATAGGAAGAAAAAGAGTTTGTACATATTAGTTTTTATACAAATAAAGTCATTTACTGTTGCAGTAAAGTAACATATCAGGCAAAAACTAGAAGTGAATGAATTTTCCATTGGAAAAATATGAGGATGAAGTAGGAAGTCCACACACTAACGTGATGGGAAAACAGGTACATAAGTCTGCAATACAGCTACATACAACATTATAGAATACAGTCTCATACAACAAAGAAACACATGAATGTCTCGTAAACCGGTATAGAATACAGTCTCATACAATAGTAATCCGGTATAGAATATAGTCTCATACACTAATCCGTGGTCTAATATCAAGGGAGAATCGACCATTTAATGTAGGTTACCTATGTAGATAGAAACATCGCACCAGACATTTAAGGGCTAGATGGATTGAAGGGTGGTGGAGGCTTGTGGAATGGGTTAGGTGGCCGGTGGAAGGATTGTGGAGGCTGGTGGAAGGACTGTGGCGGCTGGTGGAAGGACGGAGGAGGCTGGTTGTATGGATTTGGCCCGGGGGAGAAGTTATGAGGGGGCTGGGTATATGGATTAGGCACATGAGAAATGAAGGGGGTTTTTGGCACATCAACAAAGTCGTTTAAGAAGGCCCTCCTAACGGGTTCATTCAGTTTATGCCAAGCTGATCGCCACGTGGGGGACGCCATTATTTTTTCAAATGCATGGGCATACGTACGCGGGTCAACTCCCATTTCTGAGAGTGATGCCATGCTGGCATCCATCTCACTTGGTCCGTCGACAGTGTTGTTACTCGGCAAGCTCTCTTTGCTTGAACGCATGTCCTCTTGGAAATCATCGCGCATTTCCTTAACCAAATTAAGCAACTCTTCCCTTGAACTGTCATTGGATTTGCATGCCCTTGTCTTTTTCTTTCTTATCACCCTTGATGTTGATGCGACATTGGATGTCATCCGCCTTCCATAACTTTCCACGCGGTTGCGAAGCTCAGTACGCATCTCCTCATCGTCACTGTCTTGGTAAGGAGCATCTTGGTGAGGTTGTGGTTGTTCATCCTCAGCAGCATCATCATCTATTAGCACTGCTTGGGCGGCAGGGTGATATGCCCCTGAACCAGACGCCATAACTCTTGAAGGGAAAACGGCGGCCAAGTACGTCTCATTAAGCTTCAAACCGTGCGTGAACAATGTTTTCGCTTCACGATGTCTCTAACAAAATTATAATGAATTTGGTAAGTTTATTACACTTTAGTTACAAATACTATAACCTCTAACTATTGTCAGTAATGGAGGAGCAATTAATCACACATATTACCTTGCAAAGAGATGTCTGAAGTTCCTCCGAGCATGTGAAAATTTTATTGATAGGATCCCACCCCACACCTGTATGGTCTTGCAGCGTCTTATACGCTGAATAAAGGTTGCCAAGTCGGCGGCGTTTCTCCCTCAGCCGCTCGCCGCCGGGTACATATCCATCGAAAAAAGTGGCCATCCAAGCAGCCCATTGATTGTAGTCACGAGAATCTGGTACCTTTCCGTGGTTTATATCATTGTATTCGTATAGTCGCTCAAGTAGAAACGCCTCTGCAGCGGGACTCCAATATAATGGCCTCTCATCTGGGTTTCTCCTAAGCATCTACACACGCGTAGGACAAGCAAGAGGAGTCCAATGCGTGCAAAAAATAGGGCACAAACTTAAGACGACAACCAAGAACATCATGTACAAGCCACCGACAATCTAAGAAGCAAAAACAGTCCTACCTATGTACCTATGCTTCTTATTACACAATGGCAAAAGAAACTTGAACAATGCTACAAGTTTCCTTTTTGCAGCAACATTTTGATACATTTTTTTTCCATAATTAGCAGGGGAAAAAAATGAAGTGCTAAGATCATAATTAAGACCACCTATAACTTTTCACTCATTATGTGAACAAGATCCAGATATCACATTACCCTCCGAAAACAAAGATATCATATCATAAAATGGTTCACTTCATTTTTGCTGCATAATGATGCCTATTCGTTATGCTACATATTTCCATGTTCCAGCAAAGTTTTAAAGGGAAGAAAAAAAAAAGAGCCTTGAGCATTAGTTTGTAATTAAAGGAGCATGAGACTTACGGAACACATGCATTATCACCTATAACAATGTCGAATACACGAAATAAATGAACATATATACACATATACACATTTGTAGAAATAAACATATATACAACAACAATAAGAACTTAAAAGAATGCTGACCGGAACTTTTTTTATGCATTTTATGTTCTATGTATATGAGTATAATCAGCAAAGTGAAAACCCTATATGGGAGACCCTAGATCCACCAAAAGTTTGTTTAACATCACTCATTTACAGTGCCATCATCATAAGCAACAAAGTGAAAACAAAGGAAGCAAATTCAATCCTCTCGTGATTTCAAGAGGAGCAGGCTGTTCAAAAATTTTCCCTAC